GACTGACTGACTGAGTCACTGATTCATCATCGCCCAGAGCAAATCGCTGAACCTAAAGAGGTGAAATTTGGTACACAGTTAGGATACGTCATGGAAACGCACACTAAAAAGAGATTTTTCGAAATTTCCCCGCGGGGGAGAGAGGGAGAGCATTAATTAATTAAGGCTTAACCGGAAAACGGCTTTTACTGTACTATTTTAGATGCGATTTTTTGTTTTCAACTACGTTTAGTCTTCATTGAGCACCTAGGTGTATTAAATTGATAACATTTCAGACATTGTTATAAATGTTTTTATATACTTCGATTTTTTAACCAAATGTTCGAACAAATGTTTAACCAAATGTTTAACCAAATGTTCGTTTTAAATTCGAATTTGTTATTGCATATTGATTCGATTATAGAACGATTGTAAACGTTCCAGAAAATTGATCAAATTGAAAACAGTTCGTTTGATTCTCAGCAATTCTCATCATTCTCGGCGGTAGGTGTTATATAACAATTACTATGATTGTTGAAATACTGAATAAAAATGTGGTTTGCTTGCAAAACCCAGCGAGCGAAATCGTGTGTAACAGCTAGTTTATTAATAAAGACGAAGTACAAAAAATCCGAGAATTGGGTAGATGAAGCGATTATTCTCGCAGCATTCAATCGATAAATGGGCGGTTCGGGAGCGAAAACGTGTAAAGTTGTTGGTAAAAGTAGAAAGCTATTCTGCTACATTTAATAATTTTCAAGTCTACTTGTTACATCTAAGTCAGTAAGTATCTTGATTATATTTTATAACTATAAAACCTTGTCAACAAAAACACAATTTTAACTTAACGTAGGGCTACTTTTGGATAATTGAAGGGTTTTAGTTTGGGTTAGAATTTTTAATGATTGATAACATTATTGATTCTAGTTTATCACATTTTTAACGTCTGAATATAATAAATATATATGTGCGTCAGTGTAAAATTACATTTTTCTACGTCTGAGACATTGTATGGGCTGTTTTGGATATTATAAACACTATAGTTTCGAATGATTAGAATGGTCATGTCTTGAGCAAGTCTAAATAAGAGATACTAGTACATTTTCATGAAAATCGTATTAATAAGGCAGACAAAATTATGAATAATAAACTTTACCAGTGAATAATTTTGTATTGAATATTCTACTATTTCTTAGGAATCTTTTAATTAAAAATTAAGAGTAATATTCCTTAAATTAATGTACATATCTGGCCGACATATCTGGACAGATCGTCCATGAAAAATCCCCGGAGTTATTCGCTCGGATTCGATCTCAGATTCCCAGAGATCGAATCCTGGTCTCCTCTGCTATCTGTCAATCAAGATTTTTCATTTGTAAAATGATGGATTACGAAAAGCATTCGATATTTTCTTAGTTTGTCTGGTCATTATTAATGAATTGTACAATTCATTAATAATGAATTGTACAATTCATTAATAATACAGTACATAAATTTGACAATTAAATTCAATATTACATGAATTCAAAAAAATCACTTCTTGTCAGATTTTAAAAAAATCTAATCTTTCCAGATTTGATTTTTTTTTAAAAATCAGATCTGCGGGTGCCTCCAGAGAGGATTTTTTACAGAAAACTGGCCCAGTAGCGTGACCAAGTACGTTCAGGAACCCGGGCCCCCTTACTTTTGTAAATAAATTTTAAAAATAAATCAAATATGAACAGAAAAAATACTAAATGTGACAAACGCACTTATAATTATGTATAATGCTAAAAACGGCCTTTTATACTTTTCCAAATTTTTCAAAGTGTAAAAAACGTTTACGATTTCTTATAGCGCTGTAATCTTTTATAGTTACGGTAATCGTTAACATCCTTAAGTTCATTAAAATGCTACAATATATAGCTTGATAATCCCAGAAAATTATAAAGCAATGCTTTAAAATTTGGAACGTTGATGTAAAACAAGACAAAGTTTGGAACGAAAAGCAAATCTTCTTTTAATGTACGTACGTGGAATCAAAAGTTTTCGTATGCAGGGAGAAATTTATAATTATAACATATGTATAAAAATTTATATATTTTAATTGTGTAACTTTTGTTCTTAACGAGTTCTTTAATTTTATCAGACATTTTGGTAGTTAAAACAAAATATTTCAGCATTCTGTAATATTATTAAAATAAAGTTAAAGAACAAAAATAACTATTGTAAATTTTCTTTTCCACACTTTTTAGTTTTTCCTGCTTATTTTTATACGAGAAACAAAAAGAATTAATGTTTACAAATCTTGATGTAAAATCACTGGGTTTTGTGAATGGCAATCAGTGCCGTAACTAGCTGGGCAATACAAATAAAAATATCGTTACAATGCCGGACTGTAATTTTTAATCATATTTTTAATTTATTTCATTTAAAATATATGCTTTCCACCTCAAATTAATACTATAGTATCTTGCCCCTGTACATCACACTTTTCCGTTAGAATGGAGTCGTGCCGGTCATCTATCTAACGCCTTTCAAGAGAAGTTTTGAGTTGAAATTACGTGACATCAAGTTTAATCGGAAGTTACACGGGTTTCATAACCCAAGCTTTCCATACCCGGTCTTGACTTCCATGTATTTAATTTCGTTCTCGAGATTAAGGGAGGACAGACAGACGAACAACAGTGGGAACAGTTTACAGGTTTACAATTTTTTCAAATTGCAGCCCAACAAATAGTTCACAAAAATGGCTGACAGCAATTTACATTGTAAAAATATCGAGGAAAAAAAATAAAATTTTTATGGTTTTTTGTTTTAATTTATGGTACTCGTCGCCAAAAGACATTTTTAAGACAATTTACATGTTTTTGCAGAGGCGTAGCCTCAAATAAAAGTTCGTCTCTGTAAGTGAACTTTTTATGTATTTGAATTGTCAATGGCGATTGAAAAGACGAATTATGAAGACAAAAATTTTATTTGTATTCTTCAATATTTTTACAATGTAAATTACTGTCAGCCAGTTTTTAATGGATAATATGTAAGAGTTTACTCTTCATCTACAACACTATTGGGTACACTACACTGTATAAGGGTAAATTTAGATTTGCACGTTTTAATTCGGGCCCCTTCTAATATTGGTTCTAGTTACGCTACTGACTGGCCTCTAATTAGGTGTAAACACGTAAACAAAAACCTGGAAAACACAAAATGACAGCTGGTTGATGAGGCCCGAACTAGTGAGCAATTACCAGTGTTCGATGATTTTTTTCCACTCGATTATGGCGAATCACGCTTCTAGTTTCCTACGAAAAAAATATTATACGAATACTCGTTTTATAAGAATGAATAATTCTTTTTACGAAAATAACGAAAGTAAATTGTATAAAAAATATATTGATAAAGTATAATTTCAGAAAAAGAAAATATATTCAAAACAAGAGAAATTCAAATGATTTCTAAATTAACGACATCTCATTCATACGACGATGCACTAACTGCAATATTCCGAGATACATTACATCGACTGTAGACGATATTTGTCATTGCCAGACTCCATTGTGTATTGTTACCCATCCATAACCAAAAACAGATTCGGACAATTTCTCTACAAGCATAAATTTTACAGAAAGAATATGGAATAAAATATATTTTATTTTAAACCTTAAAGTTTTTAAACTCTTTTATTATTCGTCATCCTAAATAAAAATAGATAATTTATGCTTTTCGTTTTAAACTGTCCTTTCTTTTATCGATATGTTCTAGGACAGTTCATTTTAAATTCCTTGAAGTTATTTTATCAAAGTGGAAAATAATGCAAAAACTTCTAGATTAGGTAACATTTATTTTCATTTATTTCAAAACGATTTACGTCCGATTCTTAAAACTGTATTCAAAAGGTTGACAGAAAATATTTTATATAAGACTTCTACTTACGACATAACGGATATTTCAAGAAATGCGAGATGACAATGCTTTATTCCGTACGTTTCGGCTGTTGTTTTGATAAAAATTGAAAATAAAATTGAATAGACCTATTTTGAAATACCAATTATATTTCATATATTTTCAATAAAATAAACTTATAAAATAAGTCTAATTTTAATAATTGTTTGAATGACATTTTCTTAGTATTATACCCTGCGATTTATTTGATGTATCAATTACACTGAATCGTCAAGTGTGAGATATACAGTACTTACCGTGTTTTTAAGGGGAAAAAATTACTTGATAAATTTAGTTTTTGTAATAGGAATATGTGATAGTTTAATTTATTTAATACTACATAAAAATGACGAAATATTTTTTAGGAGCCATCCTTTATTAATTATGTACAGTTTTTGAATCAGTTTTGACTCCCCTCATTGTTGTGTACAAGATATAGAGTACTTTTGGCAAACTCTTTCCCCTTTAATTACGTGTACAATAGTTCACGGATCTCCGACGTTGATGAAATAATCTTAAAAAATTCTGAAAATATTTTCTGATAATTAATTCAACATTCATAAGACAAATAAGTAGGCTTATAAAAACAAATTCGCATGCTACTAATACCACTAAAAAATAAATAATATTTGGACCTCTTCCGTACAGTTCTTTTCTCGACACCCGCTTGTACACGTAGCTAAATAATAGATTGACATAATATTGTTTGTTTTATGTCATCAACTCTCAATAAAAGAGATTTCCTAAATAGATTAATTGATTCATTAATATATAAAATTAGACTTTCACAAGTTATATAATTTCAGCTCTAACACTGTTAAAACAAGTTATTTTTTAACTTTTCGAAAGTTTAAACCTCTTTAAAAAATTTCCTTTCAACGGCATACCGGTAATATTAGCTTTAAATATACCGAAATTAAAATTTATTACAACTATATTAACATTAATTTAATATTAACATATAACTAGACAGAACTGGGTATATATTAATCAGGTTTTACACAAGAAAATCGAATCATTTCCACGTTCATCGCCCTTAGTGACGTGATACACCTGACTGGACAGGTAACAGGTGAACCGTCCAATCACAATCGTTACTCAGTAGCTTGGTCCAGGTGTGGCTTGGAAGGTAAGTCGTTGTTTGAATATATCGCTAGAAAGTAAACATCTTATCAGCAGATAAGTCTATATTTAGTAAGATTATTATTTCGCAATTATATAATAGAAGAATTGGATAAAGTTTTATACACGATTACGATTCGTGAAAAACAAGATAAACCATCGAGGAAGTGGCTCGTTGATAGCTAACGTATAACATAGAAAAAAAGAATTTTATACAAAAAGTTACGAAAGATCGAAGTAAAAATACATATTTTTATGATTATGTTTAATTAATATCCAATGTTTTAATCTCTCGATTAAGATAGTGACGTTAAAAAGTGAAAAAATGTGGATCATGAATCATCCAATGTGATCTATTTCACGAGCGCTCGGACAGATCGATTTCTACATATACATTTGAAAAGTTTGAAACATTTATAACAAAGGAAATAGAAATGAGAATTTTTATTCGGAAAGCGTTAGTTACTTTCCAAAACAAAATTTTATAAATATTATTTAAAGTTTTAAATTTGCTGCAAAAATAATTGACAAAAAATGTGATTAAAAAATTTTTAATGTTAATTTGAATCAATTTTTGAATTATTCCAAAAGTTAAACAATTTAAGTTATTGTATCATCTGATAAAAGGCCATATAAGAAAGGGGTAATTATCTATAAATAGGGTGATGGCATGCTGGAAAAGCTTTATGTTGGATTTGAGGATATCTTTTTATCTGTGTTGCTGCAGTGTCTTCAGAAAAGATACAGAAAAGAGAATAAAACACGCTACATAATGTCATTCTAGACCAAGAGTCGCCAAACTTTTTTGATCATCGACTCCCTACAAGTTTTTGAAACCTCACATCGACCCCCACCAAAAAGTTTATGTTACAAGCAAAACAAAATAGTTACTATTTTAATACATTTCTTTTAATTTTGCATTTTTTTTCATTTATTATATATTTGTTAATAATAATTTTTGTAACTGACAATCAGTGAGATGATTACCCTTATCCTTAGCTTAAGCTTGATAATCAACCCCCAATAATGTTATATCGACCCCTTTGGCGACCTCTGTTCTAGACAATTAAATTACTACCTCTAAAATGGTATATTTCTATGATATTAGAATAGTTCTCAACAATTCTCCAGTATTAGAAAAAATTCTAGGTTTTCTCCACATGAACATGTGATGACTGAATCTCGATTTTCACAGAACATTATTTATTTGATTTGCAATGCAATCCGGTGTTATCTGCATCAGAATAATCTGACTCCTCCTCATGAAGGAATGAATAGAATGTAAATTATATATTCTCTCAAATAGTTTTTTTATGAAATCTTATATATTGTTTGCTTTAACTATCTATCCAATTGTTGCAGAAAATTCTACAGCAACAATGGCAAACCTTTTCTGAAGGTGGGTCAAAATTAAATTCAAAATTTAGTAACTCCAAATCTCAAGTCAAATATTTAATTTGATATGTATAAAAAAGTTAATGCTTACAAATTTTTTTATATTTTATATATAAATAAAAAATATATATACATACATAAAATAATAATATAAAAACTCTATATATTTTAATAGAAACAAATATATATAATAAACAACCTTCCAAAGCCTGATACATTGATAGTCAACCAAATGAATGTTTGTTTGACTAGAAACAAATATTTTGTTTAATGAGAAATCTGTTGTTTATTTGATGATAGTTTTTGTATCAGGTTCATAATTAGTGGCCTTTAAGACTTTTTACAACAGCTTTAGAACTCTGCTTTCAAATTACATGTTCAAAGTTTTGAAATATTTCTTTATAGTTTATAAAAACTAATACCTTATAAACATTCATTGCAGGTATCTGAAATTGCTGTGTAGGTTTGCCATCACTGCTCTAAAGCAACTCATTGATATTTGTTAGGGCTTGTGCATACAGCTGTTATCCTGTGCTAATGTAAGTTATGATCAACAATTTCTATGTTGCAGTGTCTCTAATCACTAACAAGCAAGCTAACTACTCAAAAACAGCACAAGTGCTCACCACACAATTCAAACCAAAAAACTTATCCACAAATGTACTCCTTTGCCACTCATGCATTAAAAGCAGTCCATCCATCCATCTTATGTGTTATTTCTGCTCTGGAGGTTGACTGCCATTACATGCCATCATTCCCTATGTTGTGCTTCTCTGTCACAATCCGCAAAGTTTAGTAAAGTCCATTCTCTGATGTTGTTGAACTAGGATATTCTTGGTCTTCCTTTCCCTCTTCTCTCTATTCTTTCTTCCAGAACTTTCTGGAGGATTTTGTGCCAAAATAGGTGACCTAAAAAAAGCAACCTTTCTTTTCTTTATGATGATCATTAAATCTCTATTATGCCCTAGCATTTCCAAGACTTCTCCATTTGTTTTCTCTCTTTCCAGGAATTCTTTAAAATTCAGCAGTAAATCCACATCTCAAAAACTAGTAATCTTTGTTGAGTGGATTTATGAATTGTCCAAGTCTCCACACCATACAACAGAATCGACCAGATGTAGCATTTGAGAAGCCTCATCTTTGTTTTTAAACTCAGAAAAAATTTTCTTACAAATTTCAATCCTTCACTTAACTTCTTTGTCAGACTTCCCATCATCTGTTAACAAATTTCCTAGATAGACATAACTTTAAACTTGCTCAATTCTGTCATGAATTCATGTCAAGTTTAATGTCTAGGCTAGTGTTTTTTTCTTCTACTTATGATCATTGTTTTGTTTTTTTCATGTTGAACTCGAGTCCAAATTCTCTATTTTTTTCTTTAACAATTTTCTTAAGCATTTTCTGTATAACATTAGAGACTGCAAGGGTTATTCTTTCTTTCAAAACAGTAACATTATATCACACAACTCCACAAAAAGACATCCAGTAGAGTTGTGTTGGGTGATGTAGGGGACCAGGGTGTTGGTCTTCATAGCCAATCCATTGTCCAGGCAAATTACATAAGGAAACAGCCCAGTTAGGGGATGCACTGTTGAAACAGTACCTAGCAGGAAATCAGTTATCAATTGGACATTGTGTAACGGACATTGTGTAACTAAAAGAGCACATGCTGAGATTCACTGAATGTATGTGAAACAGCTTCAACATTTATCTTTTGTAAAAAAACTTGAGTTTGTAACAAATGACACACTAAAAATAAGGCAATAATCTTTATTACTGGTTTTAGTCTTTCCTTTACAGCCATGGACATGGTCATTGTCAATCCCCATTTTTCATGCCACAACTCACACCACAGCACCCTCCTTAGGGTTATTTCCTATATCATCTCCCCCTTAAAATGTCACTGCCTTATCCTCTCCAAGAAACTGATCATAGGGGTGGTGGGGGTCACCTCAAATGTGAAAAATAATGCAGAACTTGCCCTCCTGTGACTGCTGGTATTATTGCATCTGTTCCTGAAGCAACCGGTGCTTCTCCCTTAGCCATATCCAGTTCAGCAATTGATGGTTCAGACGGTTATAACAGTGATCGCTCTACTTCAGACCCAACCTTTTCTTTCCACACAGGTGATTCTTCCACCTAAGATTGCAATTAATCCATATGCTTCCAGTGTTCCCTCGCATCTGCTTGCACTTTAAAATGAAGGGTCCAGTCTGCTCTGTCACCAATCCTGGCCCACAGCTTCCATCTGCTTCCTTTCACATCCACACCCAGAGCTCCTATGCCAATCTGGCATGGTTGGGCATGAGCATTATGGTTGTGGGCCTGTCTCTCGAAGGTTTCCTGTAACTGCCTACATAAATCTGGCTTCTGGCAACCCAATCAACAATGAACAAGGCAGCCAAAAGACATTTCATGAATAACATGTGGGGTATGGTGATAAGCCATCAGAAAACATCAAAGAGCCTTCTTTGCATCCTGAGTATCAGCCATCCCACTTCAGAGATGGTCCTTGAGTGTCAGTGTTAAACCACTCTGCTAGACTTCATACGTGGATGGTATGGTATTGTGCTAATGTGCACAATGCAATAACACTCGCAGAAAGCTTTAAACTCTGCCACTATAAATTGAGGTCCATCGTCCAACACTAACTGGCATGGAACCCATTTTTAGACATCCATTCCTCTAATATTTCCACTGTCCTTGCTGTGGAATAAATACATGCTACTTCCAGTCAGTTTGAGAATGAATCCACTGCAACTAACCACATTTTTTCTCAGAAGGGATCTGCAAAATCCAGATGAGCTCTATCCCATGCCTATCTGTCATGTTCCATGAGTACAAAGATACTCTTGCTCCATTATCCTTGTGTGATCGGCATGCTTAACAGACCACTGCCACTCTTTCCAGCTCATGGTCAATCCCTGGCCACCAGACATATGCTTTCACAACAGTCTTCATTGCCAAGGCTCCCAGGTGACCTTCATTAAATTGTTTTAGAACTGGTTTTTGTAATGAGTTTGGAATCACCATGCTTCCTGACCACCACAGAATACCATCAGCTATTGCCAACTCCTCCCAATGGCTAAGAAAACCCCTTAACTCCTCTAGTAGCTTTGGGGATCATGCTGTCTGAATACATTTTTGTACCCAGGCTAGGATGGGGTGTTTCTGAGATGCCTTATGCATCAATTCTGGTGACAAAAGCATGTCTTCAAACCCCTCTGTCACAAATTTCCAGACTATGGGACTGTCTTCATAAGACTCCCACTGGATTGGCATATGGGATAGGACATATGCCAATTCATATGACTGTAACATTTGCTTTTCCATGCTTATATTCAATCTTGTAATAAAACTCATTCAAGACAAGAGCTCAAAGTATTAATCACCTATTTGTCACCTTCGACAGCTTGCTTCACTCACCAAACACATGCTCCAATGAGTGGTGGTCTGTCTGCAGCATAAATGAATGTTCTAAGATATGCTGTTGAAACTTTGTCACAGTAAACATCAATGCCAGCACTTCCAAGTCTATTGGGGCATAACTCTGCTCAGCAGTGGTGAGTGTGCAAGATGCATAGGCTACCAGACACTCCCACCCATCTTTCCCAGGCTGCAGCAGAAGTGTTCTAAGTCACTTTTCAGAATCATCACACTCAATGATTGCTTCCTTGTCCAACCTGCAAGGTACTAATGTATCCTGTGCATTCAACAGACTTTTGGCTCTTTCAAAAGTTCTCTGCTTATGTTCTGTCATGTCCAAGGTTTCTTTTCACTGGTGAGTGCAAACAATTTAGTACACTGTCCATGGAGATGTGGAATGAACTTCTCATAAAAATTTAAGTCCCAAGAATGAGCAAAGCTGGGTACGATCTGTTGCTACCCTTATCTCCTGAATGGATGTGATTTTCTCTTCCAATATATGAACTCTAGCTGCATCCAGTCTGTGTCCCAAATAGCAGACCTCTGACTTAAACAGTTGAATCTTCTTTGGTTTAGTTTTGACTCCTGCCTCTTGAAATCTCCCCAAAACTCTTTTCAGATTGGCCAGATGATTTTTATCTGTTGCTCCTGACACGACGATATCATCGTTGCAGCCATGTGGGCTGCAAACACTGTTGTCTTGGGTTTAAACAATGTTCTCAACCCTTGTTTCAGGTATTCATATGACACAGTGTCTACCTCAAACAGAAACAAAGGGCTGCGTGCCTTGGTGAGGGGACCAAAGCCCATAAATGCCAATAACAAGTTTCATCTGGCCCGACACTCTCTCTGACTGCTTTTGCTTAAATCTTTCACCTTACATATTATCTCAAACTGAAAAAGATAGCCCTTCCACTCCTGTTTATCTTTTTCAAAGGCAACAAAATTAAAATGTTCCATACATCTTATCAGTCTGTCTTCCTCTGTAGGCCTGCTACTTGTCATTCTTATAATTGAGCCAAAACACTGGTTCTTAGTTGACCCTTGATCCTCGTTGCCAAATATGCAACAAATGACATACTAAAAATAAGGCAATAATCTTTCTTATCAGTTTTAGTCTTTCCTTTACAGCTGTGGACACTGTCACTGCCAGTTCCTGTTTTTCACACTACAACTCACTGCAAACTGCATTTCAATAGACCACTTCATTTTTTAATGAAATGTTATTATATTCATCTTTCTCAGACACCCTGTATTTTGCTGCCATACTTTCCAAATTGATAAATATAGAAAAGAAACTGCTCAAGTGCTAATTTATCATGATACAAAAGACACTTTGTATATATATGTATACATTGATTTTCTGTGTGTGTGTGTGTGTGTGTATGTTAGCAGTATATCTAAAATAAATAACAAATTAAAAAGAAAAAGTAATCAACTTTGCAAAACCAAAATTAGCTCACTAAATCGAATAGTATTGCTATTTTATTATTGTCATATGATTAATTCATTGCTTTGATTATAAAGTTGGACATTGCTGAAAATCTTGTATTACTTTAAAGTTGAAACAATTGCTGAACCTAGACATTTCTTTAGATCTTTATATCAGGATCTAATTTGAAACATACTATATACATTGTCAGATAAAATAACATTTCTATAAATCTTCACAAAATACAGGACTTTTACATCCTGTATGGATTTTATCCGTGATGTAGCATAATGCAAACACAATTTGGGACTGTCCCATCTAAACTAGGATGGTTTGTTGTCATCCAATATTATCTTCAACTCTAGAGAAGTAAGATTTACATACTATTCCTTTATTAAAGCACAAATACAGTATTTTAAAAAATCCCCAACACTTTCAAGCCTCTTAGTTCACTGTCAGCAGGGGTGGATCTAGGTTTTTTGGGGCCTAGGGCTTATTGAAGTCCAATGGGGCCCTATGTTTTGCTAGATTAAGAATCTTTAAATTGAGGTTTAAAATTCATTTTTAATAACATCAAAATCAGAGTTGAAATATATTTATTTATAATGATGTTGAATGACAAATCTTATATTTTATATAAAAAAAACATAAGAAGAAAAGAAATATTTACATTAATTAATTACTGGCTAATTGTGTTACATTGATTGCAATAAAACAAATAAGACTATAAATTACATTATTATTATTATATTATTAATATTAACTTAATTTTTTACCTTATGATAAGTACTTATTGTTAATGAAAAAGTATTAAAATTTATGATAATAATACAATTTTTGTGGGTCCTTGACACTTGGGGCCCAGGGCTTAAGCCCTATTAGTCTCTATGTAGATCTGCCACTGACCATCAGGGTGTGTAATAGGAACCTAGAGCAAAGTACATAATGAGACCCTATAGCAATAAGGATTTAAATGAAAAACATTCCAAAGGACCCTAATTCCTCAGGGCCCAGGGCAATTTTCTCCTTTTTTCCTCCTCTGGCTGAAGTTATTTATTGAATAATTTCTGTATGTAATTATTGAATAATAATTATGTATTGTAATCTTCCATTTTTATTATTCTTTTTATTAAAAAAATGATACCAAGTATCAGCAATATATAAAAATTAGAAAATGATGTTTTTATAAATGCTGAAGTGCTTTTAGTTATGATTGATAAAATGGGGTTTGATGCATTATAGGTGATACTTATATGCTCCAAAACAAACTATAAATAACTATACTCAAATGTTTATAAAAATTTTGTGGATTTAAAAGTTTGTTAAAAAATTAGCTAATCATATGATTTTGATTCTGCTTCAAACATTTTAGCAGAATTTCAAATGTGGAGAGAAATACTGTGACTCAAAACAATGTTCACATACTTTTACAATAATTAGCATAATGACTTAATTAACATTTCTGTTAGGTTAAGCATAAAATGTTACAAGAAATTTAGTTACAACACTTTGCAACTTCTCAAAAACTGTCAAAAATTTAAAAAATATTAACAAATGCTGAAATAAGACAGAAAAGCTAGTTAGCATTTGAACAATAATTTTGTTCCTTATTTTAATAGATAAAAAAATGTTCAATTCTTCAATTAATGATGTGTGTGGCCACCTTTAGCTTTGAGTATATCACTAATTCTTTGAGGCATGCTGTCAATTAATTTTAGATAGATATCTTTATCTTTTTCCCAAACTACCTCAGCTCTTTTCCATAATTTATGAATACTGCTAGCTGGGCTGTAAAATTGTTTAGGGCACATTTTGAATTGGTCTCACAGATTTTTAATTGGGTTTAAATCTGAACTGAGAGGGTTAATCCAAAAGTTCAATATGCAACTGCTTAAGCAAGATTTTAGTGCATTTATCCACATGTTTAGGATCATTATCCTGTTGAAAAATAATAATTTTTGATTTTAGTTTATACAATTGTAATGTACTTATTAAGTCATTCTTTAAAATATCACAACAGAATCCATTCTGCCATCAATTCAAACAAGATTTCCGGATCATAGACTGTTTGTTATACAACCCATATCATTAATGAACCCTCACTATGTTTTACATAAAACTGTAGCTTGATTTTTAATTTTTCCAATACTATTTGCATTCATCACTTCTTAAACAATTAATTTTTGTTTCATCTGAGAAAATTACGTGTCTCAAAACTGCCACAATTCAGTTTTTATGCTTCTATGCAAATTTAAGTCTAAGTTCTTTTGCCTTTTAGTTAGTAAGGGCTTTTTATTTTAACTGCAGCTCTTAATCTGTTATATTTCAACATATTCCTAAATGTTTGAGCACTAATATTTAATCCATGATATTCTTCTAAGTTTTTTTTTAACATCAACTGCAGTTTCAGTTTTTTCACTTGTTACTCTTCTCTTAATAATCTGCTCTTGGACTGTGTCTAGAGCTTTTGGTCAACCAGGTTATGGTTTTTTTGTATTGAACACCTCTTGTTGTATTTAAGACACATTTCCTATACTGACATCAATATGTGAGGCCCATTTCCTTAGTGATAATCTTGTTTAACAATAATAATAATATCTTGTTTTTATTGTGCAGAAAGTGGTCTCATAGTTAATTTTAGTTGGAAATAATTAATTAATTTAAGCTTTAAATTGAGAACTATTTTGATAAAATAAACATTTTTAAATAGTTTTTTACCTTTTTGAAAATGATATTGTTGAACAGCAAAGAAAATGCTCAAATGCCTGATTGTCAAAATTATTAATATTTTATGCTAAGCACAAGAGATTATTTAATGCTGCAACCCATGAAATGAATGCTTACACTATGGAGATTTTAATGTATATTCAGATTTTATAGTTTACATAATTTTGGTTTTTTACTTTTTGAACAGTTTTTTGAATTACTGTTTTATGAAATTTCAGTTTAAGTATTCTCTTCATTCTGCATAACCAACTTGATTTGATTTACCATTCAGTCTAATACTCATTTTTCTATAGCTTTATTTATTAGAAAATTAAATTCTAGCAATAATTTTCTTATCTTATATTGGTGATTATCAAAATTAAAAATTATAATCATGATAATATTCAAATTAGTCTATATTTTATATATATATTTATTTATAACTTTTTAGTAAGTTTATATATACAGTAGTTTAATAGTGACTTTTTTTATAACATGCAAATTTTAATATGTATGTAACACAATATGAATGATATTTTATTTTTTGTCTAATGAAGTTTTTGATTTTGATATTAACAATATTAATTATAATAATTAATTATAAATTTTATAAAAAGCATAAGGTAATTATTTTATAATGAAAATGATTCATTTAAACAAATTTAAGGTTTAAATTATAATTAGTTCTTACAATAATAATTGATTTTATGTAATATTTTTACAGATTTTACATTAAAATGGTTATACAGCCAAAGTATCCTCCAGTGACATGTATTTTTGTGACTGGAATAGGATTTGCATTCTGCGGAACAGTTCTTTTGATTATTTCATTTGCATGTCCTTATTGGTTAGAATCATATTATGGAACCTACACTGAATTTGTAAGATTAGGTTTATGGGATGTATGTTTCCATAACTACCGCCATCCAGATTATCAGTATGATGAAAAGTTTGATGGTTGTCATTGGATATTTAGCAATAAATATCAAAGTCTTCGGGACTGGCTACAACCAGGTTAGTTTATAAATTTATATTTATTTATTGCCTGTCATTATTAAAAAACAAATAAATATAATATTTTCCGCTTAAAGAATGAGATGACTACTATCTATCATTTAACACCAACAGATAGTGGTTATTTCATTCTTTAAGTGGATAATATTTTGTTATAGTGAATCTAGTTATTACTTTTATACTTGTATTATACTTAATCAAAAATATTCTATTTTATAATTCAATTTATTAAACAAAATAACATTTTCAAACAAAAAAAAATAATTAAGAAAGCACTGTGAAAAAGTGGTATACAGTAAGTGACAAAAACTTTTTAATATTTTTTTGTAATAGAATTAATTCAAAATTAATTTCTTTAATAAATATTAGTAACATGCAAGCAAGTAATTAATTATTTTCTCTTTTAACAGTGATGTGATTTAAATTAATCAATATTAAATTATTTATCACTTGTTTCATTTTTTACATTAAACTTTTTAATTACTTTTTAAATAATGATTTTGTACAAATTATTTGAAATTTCTATTAAATGTATAATTATAATGCCTATTGCACGGTACATTTTATAATCCTACAAAAATGAATTATATGAAGCAGTTAGAATAAAATATATTTTCTAATTCAAATCTTACTGATTGTAAACAACAGATGATAATCAGTATAACTTATTACATCCCATTTTTACACATTTATTAAAATCAATTTTATTAATGCATTAATAAAAATGTATAAATAAAGTTTGTTTTATTGGGTTACAATTTGAAAAAATTGTAGACCTATAAATTCCCACTGTCATTCATTCATCCAACCATCTGTTTGTCTTTCCTTAATCCCAAGAATGAAGTTAGATAGATGAAAGATGAGACCAGATATGGAAACCTTATGGGCAGGAAGCTCTAATTAACTATATACATACTTCCGATGCAAACCAGAAGTCATGTTATTTCAATTCAAAAATTTCCCCATGAAAGGCATTAAATGACTGGCACAACTCTATTGTTAAAGGAAAAGTATAATGTACAGAGGCAAGCACTATAATTTGAAGTGGAGAGCATATATTTTAAGTTAAATAAATTAAAAATGTGACAAAAATTGCAGCCTGGCATTGTGATATATATATATCTGATTATTGATAGCTATATTGTTGAACTGTTTATTGATAGAACTTATAATGCATTTGATGCTTATTAGATTATCTGTAGTTTATATGCATGTGCAGAATAGTGATTCTGTTTTGATATTAACAATTTGCAGCACAAATGAAAAACAATATCAACATTCTACTTTAATCTACTTTGTTCTAGAACATTTCTTACTTTTTTAAATTCTTTGTTTACTGGTACTTTAAGTTTTTCCTTTATTGGCTTAAGTGTTCTTTATGAATATACAGGTAAAGAAGAAAGACTCTCTTAAAGTAAAATGACAAATTATTATTTTGTGTTGTACTAGTAAGCTTTTTCCAGAGATTACTTTAATGCAGTCTATAGTTAGCCAGATGCTTTCTTCTCAGTGTAAAATAACTCAATTACTGTTATCCTGTATATTTAAATTTATAATTGTTAAAAGATAAAATTAGTCTACTTTAAAATGTAACATCTGAATATCTTTTGATCTAATTTTAAATGTGATAAGATTTTTGAAACTGTCATATGTTTTTCTACTTGTAATAAGTATTTACTTCTTTGAATAATTTTCCTTTATCTGATTTCATTTTTGAAAACTAACATCTGTGCATCTCTCAAAATATCTTCTAAATAGATATGATAGAATATGAACTCTTTAATATTATGGTTTCTTCTTTTTATATAGGTTATTCATTCATCATAATTTTTTTTTATATTATTGTTTGATTTCAACTTGTGTTACTTGTAGTTATGGCATTTGAAATTTCATTATCATTGCAATCAAGCTATTTTTCTTGTTTTATTTTACTTCTATGATTGATTTCTCATTCACATTTTTTACATTAGTTCAGATACTAAATTTGGAGTAAAATATAAATTTAATATAAAAATAAAAGGAAAAATATATGATTCTTAATATTACTGCAGCTATAAAGTTAATTGTCTTTTTCAGTTAATCATCTGATATTCTATACCTCAAACATATCTATTGATTAGTTTATTTTATCATATATACAGCATTAAGCAAAGTGAAGAAAATTTTGTCCATTTTTTAAGTAATTAATCAATGTTTTTTCTATTGTGTGTAGAGTGCAGTATAAAATTTTTTCATTCTTGAATTTTTATAATTTTGAACTAACTAACTAATTTTTTATTATACTGTTTATTTTATCTTTATATTGAAAAATATAAATAGGTTTAACTTATACAAGGGTGGTGTTGGAGCACGACACAGTGCATATTGAAGATGATCAATGGATTTAGCAAATTCTAGATCACCTGGCCTACAGTCTGGATCTATTGCCATTTGATTATCACCTTTTTGGCCTTTTAAAGGAAACCCTAGGAGACAAGAGTCACTGTATGAAGAACTGTTTGAAATCAGAGAGTTCATCACAAAATGTCTCAAAAAAGTTAAAATTTTTCTATTCCATAAGTATGCTATCATTGTCAAAACAAGAGGAAGAGTGTCAATGTGTTGATTGGAGAACCTAAAGAAAAACCAAATTGGGTCTACAGGATAGCAACTCCAGATAGAAGTCAAACTGCTTTTGTGTATATATATTTTCTCATATTATTTAATATTACTATATGACATCTGATTTAGTTAATGATAAAAAAAAAATTATTTGAGATAATAGATTAAACAAATTTTAATTGAGATTAAGATTGTTGTAGTGGTGTTATCAGTAGTTTTCATTGTATGAAAATAATTTTATATTTTTTTATTCTAATCAAAATTGCTGGTATATCAAAATAAAAATATTTTGAAACATTATTATTATTAATGAAGAGAAGAAAAATGGACCACTTAGAAAAGACAGAGAGAAAAAATATAGTCTAACAATACAATGCAAATTAGTGAATGAAGCTATAGAAAGGAAGAGAAGTAAAAACAAATGGTTAGGGAAAAAATGACAAAAATAAAGTAAACAAAGGAGTGAAAATTAAAGGAAAGAAATCTTAACAAAAAATTTCATTCATACATATTTTAATTTCAATTAACAAAATTTTACAATTTATTATAAGATAATTATCTGTTTAACAAAAGTATCTTTCAATTTATTCACAGGTAGAATAATGGATCTTCTTTAGTTTTCTGCTAGTTATAGCAGGTCCAGTGAGCACCATCTCTTTTTTCCTGCTACTTTATCCTGTGTTCTTGTCTTTAGCTCCATGCAACCATTTCTTCTATAACATCATTCCATAAGTTGTCTTCTCAAATTATGTGTCCCATCTAATTAGCTTTTCACCTCTCTATTGTCTCTAATATGCTCCTTTTTTAACCTATTCTTAGGATTTCCTCATTTCTCACCTTATCGCTCCATCTGATTTTCTGTATTCTTCTCCACAGCCACATTTCCATGGCCTCTATTCTCCTAATGTCATTGTTGCAAGGTCCAAGTTTCAGCATCATAGAGGAAAACTCCAGATGCTTTGAATATTGAGTGCTTTCTAGAAATAAATAAAACTTTTGAATTAGTTAAAGAACTGTTAATAGTCACAGTATGTCATTAACTGTAAAGATTTGTCTTTAACCAACTCAATATTAAAAGCATTTAACCAGTCTTTTTCTCAATTCTAATTTCACAGGCCCACACAAAATTGTTCTCATTATGCTAAATTCCTCTTTTGACATACCAATTCTCCTCTTGATTTCTTTCCCACTTCTGCACTCAGAGTCAAGCCAAGCATCCAGGTATCTAAACTCCTTCACTTGTTACACTTTATCACCATTTTATATGGATGTTGACCTTTCTTTCCTTTTCTCCAATCCAAAGCACTTTGGTTTTATTAACATTAATTTTCATTTGAAGGCTGCACATCCCCTCTCTAATCCACTCAGGATCTTTTTCATTTGATTGTTTTATTTTTTTTTTTGGAATGGGAATTAAAATATTCTTCAGAAAGTTGTCAGGCCAAATGCCTGTATCATAGATCACATTACAAAGTCTTCTTAATTCTGTTTTCACCCATATTCTTGATGAATTCTATAGGGATGTTATTGATGCTTCCTGATTTTCTATTTCTTAATCCTTCTACTGGAGGTTATGAGTACAGTAGAAGGATTAAGAAATAGAAAATCAGGAAGCATCAATAACCATCAAGTTCCATCAAGATTGGAACTCCTTCATCTTTATCCACATCACTTTCTTCTATCTTCAGTTCTACATTATTTTATGCTTTGTACAGATTACTTATATATTCATGCCATCTGTGCAGGATTTTCTCCTTATTATTTATACTATCACCATTTTTGTCACTAATAGTTACTCTCTTAGGCCTTCTGAACCCGAATGTGTTCTTAACTTTATCATACATTAGTTGAAAATCTTTTTGACTTCTCCAGACTTTCAATTTCTTGAAAGTCTGGAGAAGTCTGGAGACATTCTCTTTCAAGCCATACTTTTTTGGCTTGCTTGATCAGCCTTCTTTCCTTATTGTTATGTTCTCTGTATTTTTGTCTTCCTTCTTCAGAGTTCACATTCTTCCACCTTCTTTCATTCATTTTATTCACCAATTCCTCTGTAACCCAGGGTTTTTGAGTTCTTTGACCTTTTTACTTTCCTACCCATTCCTCTGCTATGGCACATGTGAATAATGAATATGCATTATTAATACCATAGTTTCTTCTGTGCATATAGCCCATGAGATGTGTCTGTTTTAAAAGATAATTTGGAAAGTGTACAGATTGTTCGATGGGGCAAGTTATAAGTTGATTTTAAATTGCAATTATAAATTTTTACACATGGAGCAAGTGCTGCTCCCATAGATATATGATAATGGTGGAGTGGGTTATGCAAAAGTTTTATTTTTATTTTAGGAATTTTCTGTATGTTAAATACCATCATATGTTTGTGCATATATCCTGTGACAATATGCTATCTTGGGGATATGCACAAAATTATAGAATTAAAATTTCTAATGCATGCAATAAATATATAAAATATAATGTAAATAAAGGGTATTTGACTAATATATGATGATACATAAAGAAATTAAAAATTTTTTTTTGCTTTCTGAAGATTACATGACTACAAGATTGAAAACAGTTCAATAAATGCATTTGATTTTTAAATTTAGCAGTAATTTATTTCTTTTGAATACCACATTTAGATATTACACATTAAATAAAACTAAATTTGATAATTTGGTCAATTTTGGTTGAATTATCAAATTGTTTTATTTAATGTGTAATACCAAAAGATGGTTTATTTCATTAATCTTCCTTACATTGTGCCTTTATAAAAAAAATTAAATATATCAAGATGACTTTCATTTGTTCACCCTCTTTGAAGCTTAATAACTCCTTGCTTTTTGTCAAAGATCATCTTTTATTGTAATTGGAACTTTCATTTTTTGTTTTAATTTTAAGATTGAAAAGTGAAGCAAATGATAATGTCTTATTTATTTTTTTGAATACATTTGGTATCTGTACAAAAGCAATAAGCTATTGATAACTCATAACTTGTGAAACTAACTTAAATTAGATTCTCTTTAGGTTGATATTCAAAATATTAACAAATGCAAATAAAGTGCCAAGAAATAAAGGTCAGGTCACTATTTAGTAGTAACATTTTAATTTGCTGTTGACATTAGAATTTTGTTGTTTTGTAAGCAAAATCAAAAATATTGCATTTAAATGATATTAACAGTTAAGCATTTCTAAATATTAAATAAATATTAAATATTATATTACCAACTTAAGTTAAATTATTTCTCTAATTAGGTTGGATGATGTTTGTCCAAGCTATGATGTCAATTGCACTGATATTTTGTATAATATCTCTGGTGATGGCAAGTCTTGTTTTGATGCGGTATTTTATGAAGTATGAGATTTTCATATTAATCTGTTCATTCATTTTAGAACTGGCAACAGGTAAGTTCTTTACAATAATAAAACAAAATTCCAAAAAGTTCTTAAATATATATCAGATTTTAAAAGATAGAAAATAGAAAAGTAAATACTAATAAGTTTAATCATAGATTGATCTCAATGATTATTTTTGAAATTAGCATGACTATAAAATATTAATGTTGAATAAATTTATAAACAAGTTATTATGATTAAATAAATTTATAAATAAAATTTATATGCTAATTATCACTTCTGACAATCTCACTTTTAAGTACCAAGTTAAAAAATATAATACATATATACAGGGTGTCCCACTCGAGAGTACATCTTTAAAAATGTGAATTACTCGCGAACGCATGCATGTATCATCATGCAACAAGGTTCAAAATATTCCTTATTTAATGAAGAATTCAGAAATGCGTGACATACTGCCAATGGTTCCTTCAATTTTTTCCCCTAAATGCAATACTGCTAGACATCACTTGGTTCACTGATGAAGCATGGTTTTCTCTCTGGTTATGTAAACTCACAAAACACCCATATATGGGCCTTGCAAAATCCCCATGGCTTCCACGAGGCTCCCTTACATGATGAGAAGATCGGAGTGTAGTGTGTGATTTCTTGTTCTTGGATCATTGGTCCAATTTTCTTTGACGAGACTGTGAACACTGACCAATACTTGTCCATATTTGACGAATTTGTGAAACAACTGGACGACTATGAACTTCAAGAAGGTTACTTCCAACAAGACAGGGCAACGTGCCATACCTCTCATGCCAGTATGGAAGAGATCCAATTGTTTTTTGGAGACAGGGTGATCTCTAAAGGTTTGTGGCACCTCGATTGCCCGATTTAACTTCCCCAGATTTTTTCTATGGGGATATTTAAAGGGCAAGGTGTATGCAAGCAAACCCAAGACCATCGAACAACTGAAAGCAAACATCGAGCATGAAATTGCTGCCATTGACAGTGACGTGTTGCAGAGGACATTCTCAAATATGGAGTGTCACGTTTCCTTGTGTGCAGATGTTGGGGGAGGACATTTTCAGCACTTTTTGTAATGTGGATTTGTTTTCCACTAAATACAGGTATGTTCAGTTCTTACAGCTTGCCTTTACGTTCACGCGTTTGCGAGTAATTCTCATTTTTAAAGTTGTACTCCCGAGTGGAACACCCTGTATTATATTTTAATTTTGTGTTGTACTTTAAAATTTAAATTAATATTTTAATTTAAATTTGTAGTATGGCACAATGAATTATACATTTATAAAAAGAATAACTATAAACAGTTCAGAAGAGTTCAGCAATGTTTAATTATTTTGATTTTCAGATAATAGGAAAATAATCTTTTGGAAAAATATATATATATATATTTTTTTATATTTATATATATATATATATATACTATATATATAAACAAGTGATAAGCAGTAAGCAAAAAGCATGTTTAAACAACAATTTATATTTTATAACAGTTGAACTTGCTTAAGAAGAGCATTTGTCAGTTTTCTCAGCCAAATTTTGCAATAATAATTATAAAATGATACCTTGTTTTATTTATTTACCCTTTTTGTTTTATACTTTTTTCTACAGTCTTATAATAAATGCTTATCTGTTTCATTATGGAAACTCAGAAATCTCTCTTGCAACTAGTGATTTACACTAATAACATTAACAAGAATTCAAGATAAACGATTGTATCTTTAAAAGAATAAAACAAATTTTATTCTGAAAACATAACATATATAATGAAAAGCAATAAAGTCCAATGTAATTGCTTAATAGCATCTCAGCTAGCTTTCTGTGCATTTTTGTTACCCCAAATCATAAACAACAATATTGATGATGATGGAAAATTGAGTTGCAAACTGCTTTTTTATGATGTATCAAACATTGAAATTATTGAATTATTGCATTGTCATAAATATCACTTACTGCAGAACATTGTCTTGATTATGATGTGTTCTTTTTTAATTTGCAAAGAAACTAGTTATTTTATCTTATGACTGGCAGTAATTTTTATTCACAAGTCACAACCATATTTTCATAGACAATTCTTTAAACATTTGTCAATGTTTTGTATTCTGCCAAATGAAGCTATCACTATTGTTTGCTTTTTATATGCTTTGCATACCTTGTCTACCTATCTTGATTACTTGTTACAAGTGGTCTCTGTTTTTGAAAAAATTATATTATTGCTACAAATAAAACTTGAATTTCATAAATAAAATTGTTTTTATTTTTTCAAATTTTAGTCAATGCAATATATTTTTTGTTTATTAAGGTCTGAGTATCCTTCATAAATTGTAAAAGAAATTAGGCAGTTGTGAAAAGTATAGAAAAAATTATGTTTGATGATGCATCCTATATAGTTGATCAAACTAAGCCATCCTCTTAATGTGGAATAGCATTATTTATTGTACATGTAGGCTATAATGTGAGATATTGATATTGCATATTACAGAAACTTTTAGCACCATTTATGATGATGCAGTTTTATGATAGGGTTCCTACTCAAATTTTTGTTTTAAATTTGATGACTTCCCTGATCAACTTGGAACAAATTTCCTGACCCTTGCATCCCATACAATATGGCATATTGCCATAATAAAATAGCATTTTACTTACAACACATTTACACTATTGTTTCTCCAGCTTTTTAATTATGTTNTTGCGGTAGTGTGCTGGATAGGCAAAAAGAAATTAATAGAATATTACATATTGCCAGATCTCTAGGATACAGAGCAGATATGATAACAACATTGATCAGAAATTACAAAATAAACAAAAATAAGGTTCAAAGCGGAGATTTCGACAAAATCACAAAGTTCACTTATGATAGAAAGAAAAAAGCCATCATGAAGGAAATCTCAGCCCGCAAAATGTCCAAGTTAGTTTTCAAGAGAGCTCCTAACCCGTACAAATCATTAAGGAACGACAAAGACAACATGGATAAAGAAAAAAGAGCAGGACAAGATTCCGTATGAAAATCGTGAACTAGACATTAATAAAAATTACATTGGTGTCACTAATAGAAACTTAGGAGTCAGATTAAAAGAACACAAATACAATATCAGCAACGAATCTAACGCCACAATACTATCGCAATTGGCGCAAGTTGAGGGCTCTGTCGTCAAATAGGACGAAGCAAGTATTATTAAACCATTACATTCACCGACATTGGCGATTTGCGCCGAAAAAATTGAAATATATAAGAACAGGTTACATGATGCATGCATTAATTCTAGAGATTCGGAAGGCCTGGAAATACTTAATCAAACGATTAGAGAGCTCTTAATTTAATGCCTTGATTTTAGTATCTTTGCATATTCTTGCATTTTATTCAATTTCATATAATGTATTATTAAATAACGTTTTAATATTTTTAATAAAATGTTTTATTAAATAACAATACTTTATCCTGTTGGTAGTCCACAACCATGAAATTATATGGCTTCATAAAACAGGAAAAAACTTTATAGGATTTGTTAATGAATAATAAATAAATATGATCAATACAAAACCTTCCTCACTTATTTCTAGCCATTTATACATGAGTACGAACGTTTTCAGCCTTCTTAATAGGCTTTTTTCAGGTACAGTACATTGTGTCCGTTAGAGCGTCGGTGGTAGAAGTTTAAACGGTGCCAATGTTTACATAGGTATCGTCTTACTAGTGACGTCATTGTTGGACGATACCGAGGGCAAAAAATTCTTTCTTTTGGTAAAAAAGGGAAGTGTGCAGATAGTCCATGATGGGATAATCGCTCAAGTTGGGAATAAAATTCTAAATTAGTGTGCTTATTTTACAATTTTATTCCCCAACTTGAGCAATTATCCCATCATGGACTATCTGTACACCTCCATTTTTTCCCAAAAGAAAAAATTTTTCACCCTCAGTATCATCTATATCTATCATCAACGATGACATCACTAGTAAGACGATACCTATGTAAACATTGGCACTGTTTAAACTTCTACCAACCAATGCTCTAACGGACCACAATGTACCTGAAAAAGGCCTATTAAGAAAAATGTTTGTACTCGTGTATAAATGGCTAGAAATAAGTGAGGAAGGTTTTGTATTGATCATCTTAAAATAGTTCTAGCTACAAATGCATAGAAATAAATAAATACATCTGTTACGTAAGTATAAATTTATTAAATCTGTCCTTTTAATAAATTTCTAGAATTTTATAAAATATTAAAACTTGAAAAATCAGAAATTGTTTTGTTATAAAATTACAAATTTTTATTCATTTTTTGCACTTTTTTTCCTCTCTCTCGTTCTCTCTTTTCACCATCATCACCAACACCTGCCCTCAAACTGAGATGTAAATGGAAATTGTGAGGGAGGGATTCTGAGTGTTAAAATATTTTGAAAACATTTTATTTATGTTATGGAGAATTATAAGTATTACAGATTTTCTCTGAAATTCATAATATTGCATTTTAAAAAAACAGCATTTTTAAAATTCAAAAATGCTGATTGATATTACCATATTATATATTAGGAACTTAGTTTGATCCTCTGTTTTGTAGTGTTCTCCTTTATATTGCATTTTATAATAATTTTTTACATAAATTTTAACATTAACATTAATTGTTTATTTGCAACTATCAGTAAAAGAAGTAAACATCTGTAATACTGTAACTGCCTGAACATTAAACAAAATTCTAAAAATTATACAATGTGATCATACTTTATAAAATCTGATTTTGAATGATTTTAAAATACAATCATAAATGCATTAGAACAATTAATAAGTCTTATGTGTAATAGGACTTATTAATTTTAATTTTACATTTTTAAAATTAAAATTTAAAAGTGTAATACAGCTGTATGAAATGAGTTAAAATTAACCCATTTCATACAGCTGTATACATGGTTTAAAAAAAAACTGTTTAAGAACTTGATCTCTAAGTACAAGGGGGAAAAATTTAGTGAGAAGCACTTATACATATATGTCTATGGTCATATCAGCAAAGAAAATCAACAAAGCAGTCCAGGAGGCAAATTTCCTGACTTTCCCTGAATTCTTGATAATTTTTGACAAATTCCCTGACTTTCTATGACTTTTTCCAAGCACTAAAAAACTCCCTGATTTTTTCCAACTTTTCAGATGCTTAGAAACCCTGTATGAAAGAACTGTTTTTTAAAGATAAAATTTTAAGATGAAAAATCAGAAATTTAAAAAGGATAGTTATAATTATTCTACAATTTATGAAACATGTATGACAACATACAGTATATAGAAGTATGTTGCATTACATAAGAATTGTAGTGCTAGTATACTGGTATCATTAAAGCTGAAGTGATTAAATGATTTAAGAGAAATTCACTGTAATTATTGTGAGACAATAATACAAGATATAATGAATAAATTGTTGGAAATGTCTTTTTCAAAAAGTGACTAATATTGATGTTTGTAATAAATTTGAACCATTCAACTTACATAGCAACTTTATCATGCTTATTTAAAGTTAGCATACAAGTTTAATTAGACTGAATTAATACTGTTTCATGTTACTTTTATTTATGATTATTAAATAATAATTATTTCATTTTTCTATTTGTTTTTTAAAAACGGTTTTAATTATTCATTTTCATATTATCTTATTCTATAACAATGCAACATTTTAGAAAAATCATGTAATAAACAATTTTTTTTAGAAATACAATATAAAATATATATAAAGTTAGATAAATTTGAGAACTTTTTCAAATTTATCTCTATCTATTACTCTTTAAATTTTAAACATAACAAATGGAAGACACTTTTGAGATGAATTTGAAACAGTTGATAATACAGTAGAGCCTCGAAAACTTGGCCTAATGCGGACCAAAGGGTGGCCGAGTTTGTGAAAATGCCGGGTTATCAGGAATAGGGTTAAAAAAAATAAGTATGAGTGTTTTCTCAGAAAATACTGTACTGTACTTGTATGTATTGTTTACTTGAGAATACAACAGAGAATAAACTGCCCAAATACCCTTAAACAAAGGAAAAGTACATCCTTTATGAAGGCATAGAGCCTTTACTACATGAAAATGAAAATTAATGAATACACTGTGTACAGTAATTTACCTGATAAGACAGACCTCAGAAAAATACTTTATGAGGCATAAAGTTGTCTTTATCATGAAAATTAATTAACTAAGGATTTTTTGCCCTGCCAGGGTGTGGCCCGAGTTATCCGGAGTGCTGGGTTATCGAGTGCCGAGTTTTCAAGGCTCTACTGTATTGCTCCATATTATAAAAACAATGGGGGGAGAAAAACAAAATGAGATATATTTTTAGAATCTGAATTATATTTGATTTCATCACAATTATTAATCATTTAACACTTAGTCTAATAGACACATATACATATGGACTTATCATACCAGTGAACAACATTAATTCACAAAATCTTTAATGATTATTTAACATTAGTCACAATAAATAATTGCTTCTTGTTATTATTTTTAATTAATAAATACTTTTGTATCTGTTGCATATTTTCCATCACTTATTAATTTAGCTTATGTTTGTTTATATTTTCCATTTTTAAAATTATTATAATAAAATTTTTTCTTGCTAAAATTTAATTACCATAAAAAAATTATCATTGTGTAATAAATATAACAAGAGCATTAGATTTTATTTAAAATTTCCTTATATACAGAATTATGCTATTGCTTTTTATAGCTAAGCCAATGTCACCATTCTAGTTCCAGAAGACTCGAAATAAATAACTTTAATACACTATGAAAGTATATTATCCTTAAGTGGAATTATTTATATATTTTTTTTTAACATGAATCTTTAGTAGACTAGTTCAGTTAAATTTTAATAGAGTTATATAAAGTTTCCATGATATTTAATATTTGTGAGTTTAATAAGAATTCGTATCATAAAACAGCATTAGACTAAATCAAGTTGCAAGAGCAGAATTTGATGATTTGGAAATAGTAAATATTGAAAAGTTAATTGAATCATACAGGGAATATCTGAAAGAATTAATATCAAATAATGAAAGCTGGATGATCCCAAAATAGAAGAAAAGAAAAAAAAACTTTTTGGGAAGTCATTTAAATTGAAAGTTCCATCTTTATACAGAAAATGAAATGCTCTGAAAAGTTTATCCAGTTGTTTGTAGATACAGAACTTAAGATATTTAAATAGAAAGAAGTATAAAATTGAAAAGCATAGAAAACCGATGTCAAGCATTGACAAAATTTTATATATATGAATTAAGATTGCTAGTTTCTTTTTAGAAAAATAATTACAGTCAAACATCATTTATTAGATCCCATTCATCCTGATTGTTTTGAATACTTAATTGTTTCTATTTAAATTTTTACATATTCTGTGGAAAAATGATTATTTTTGTGACATTTGAGATAACTGAAACATTATTCTACATTAATATGTAGCAATCTCACATTTGCAAGGAATAATATGAATACCGTTTGTATGAATTGGATAATGTTAATGCTCCTGTTTTCAAGTCAGCAAAGCACATAAGTTTATTTTTGATCATTAAAAAGTATTTTCATTATGGAATTTTAGACTTTAATTTCAATACCTCCCTAATTTCTTTTTATCTCGATCAGATCCAGTCTTGCTTGATCTGGATAAATGGAGTTTGACTGTGTATTTTTCTGTCATTATATAAAATATTCAAGTTTTAATTTTATTAATAATGGGTTTTGTGCTCAAAAATCTTAAATAATTCCTGTTAAACAATAAATCACATTAAATATATTTTTTAAGATATTGACTTGAAGGACATTAGATAATTTTGCTCTTTCTCTGAGAGAACGGATCGCCCATTAATTAGGTGTACAGTTTAAAGGAGGGAAAGATTCAGGCTTTGTCTGTGGAATTTTTTAATAGTATTGCAGCATATGAATTTGTCCATACAAAGCCTAATTACTTGTCGTGTGAATAAACTATCAGTTAACAAATATTTACAGAACTTATTAAAGTCATTTCTTGAATGTCGGTGGTCCATACATGTAATTGAAGGGGAGGGGTTTGCCAAAAGTATATCGTTGTATACAACGGAAGAAGGGGTCAAAAATCGCTCAAAAACTGTACACGTAATTAATAGACGTCCTTAAGACCAAATTCTCTACTTTACATTGAATATTACATTGAATTAATTTGCTGAAATGTAAATTTAATAATTTTGTAATTTGATTAGCTTTGCCGGTATTTCTTGCTGTATGTGTATTCGGAGGCCTGTGTTTTGATCGTTCTTGGATCCAATATCCTAACTTCAATCATTTATCATGGGCTTACGCATTAGCTGTGATATCATTTGCTATACACACAATAGCTGGAATTCTCTTCTTGAAAGAAGCATTTAAAGCTAACGAACGAAGGAGGAGAGCACACAGCATTGCATATGATTTGGCCACTAAGTATTAAAACTTCAATCTACAAATGATGATTTCTTATTTTTTACTCAGAAAAAGTTTTGTATAATTTTAATTGTAGGCTTTACACAAAATAAAAATAAAAAATAAATAAAATATATATATATATTTTAATGGTGTATAATGATTATTTAGTATGAATATATATTAATTTAATTACAGTACATTAAATTTTTCATTCTTAATATATGCCTTTATATAATTTTCTGTATTACAAGGGAATAAAAACATGTTTATAGAATTTTTACATGTTATTGTAATAATATAAATTAAGTACGTAAATAAAATTACAACTGTTTGTAAAACAATCATATTTTAATATTTATAAAAGTTATCACAAATAAGATCAAATATTATAAAATTGACAATGTTTATCTGTTTTAATATGTAAAATTATAATAAATAATGAAAGGACTATTATTATGTTTAAAATTATTATTTATAAAATAAAAATAAAAATGTATTTATAATATTGTTAAACAAAGAACAAAGTTTTTATAAAATGTATGTTTTTTTTTAGTTTTATATTCCGTCCATATATTTTGATTAGTAAATATTCTGAAATGGTCATCACTGCTTTTAAAAATCAGATTTATCAGCTTAAGCAATTGAAATATATGTATTTTACAGCATTTATAGAAATATAATTAGTATTTATGTAGAATAAAAATATTTTAGAAAAATATTATTATAATTAATACTGTAAATTAGATTGATCTACTGTATTTAAAACTAGTAAAATGCTTATATTATGATTAATCTAGTAAAAATAATTGCAAATGTTTGTTCATATATTATTATTAAAAAGTTTGATTTTTTAAAAGAACGCATTTTGAAAAGAGAGAAATGAATTTCAATGTACTTACATTTCTTTAAATTGTAGTTTGCATTGTATGTGCATATGTTATTTTATACAATTCCTGTTTTTGTATATTTTTAAAAAATAGACTAAAATAAAAGATTTCACTAATCAAGATATGAATTAAAATAGCTACACAAATTTAATAAATGCCAAATAAGATATTAAAATTGGTATTAGGATTGGGATTGATGGCAACGCAATATGTGGGCAATCAGCCAAAGGAGAAGTGCCTCTCGGAAGGACATATTTTATGGGAAACTGGCATGGGAAAGGCAATTTTATGGGAATTCAGGTGTTAGACATGTGAAGAAAACCAGGAAAACTCCATTGATCAACCCAACCCGTTGGTCAAGCACCAACTTCTGTGTTCAGTAGCTTTTTCACTGTCACAAAATTGGTATTAGTTATGAGTTACAGCAATATGATTTTCTCCTTATGAAATATGGCTTGATGTCACAAATCTTTAAAACAGTGTATCTGTTTACTTTATAGTCTTATATTAAAAAGCTTGCCTGTACTATTTAATTACAAAAACTACTTAGTTACTTATGACTAAGGCTACGGTTACTATGGATGCGAATTCTGACGAAATTTTGTTCTGACGAACAAACAAATACCTGTTTTCCAATGACAGTGTTTACTTTGACAGCGAAGGGCATATCAGAACACGCACGATGTAGTCAGAACCATTCCAGCGTTCAAACGAGTTTGATTTTTTCGTGCGTTCTGGCGTTGAATTTCGAGTGTTTTGGTTTTTTCAACATGGATATTGATAAATTGATTAGTCTTGTGTTCGAGAATAGGTGTTTGTGGGACATGAAAGACAAAAACTATCACAACAGAGATTTCTCATTTTGATCTCATTCTGAAATACTCGAAAAACTTTTGCGGGTTGTCCCAAAAATCTTGATATAACATTTGGAACTCTCCCTTATCGTCTCTTATGGAAAATAAGTGGTTAACATGCTCTGTTTTCCCACCACCTATCAACAATAACTTAATCAACAAACTTTCAAGAAAATAAAACTCATCAAGTTCGTCCATTTTGCTGGGAGGCAGAAACGTACGGACTATCAGAAAACGCGCACAGTGTAATCACCTCCTCCTGACGAGGATTTCGAACGTACTCGTCAGAACAAAATTTCGTCAGAATTTGCATCCATAGTAACCGTAGCCTAATGAACACGCTCATTACACATCCAGCCTATTTAATTAACTTATCCAAATGCATTTCAGCCTTACTAGCCTTATCAGTTGGATGACACACAAAAAACAGAGTCTATGGTGACAGTTGCGAACATTATAATATACGTTAATAGTACATTTATTACAAATTATTACATACACCTATTAATAGGATTCTAAATTATCACTAGGATAGTAACATAACAAAACTAAACAAATCCAGTAAAAACGTTGTGAATAGTCTTTATGGTTGTGATAATTTTCTATTCTGTCTCCACCACATCTGTTGGGTATGCTGGTTCAATTTCATCATCATGATTTTTATTTTCATTTGGATTATTTTTGGACACATTTTTTATTACGATTATGGATGATCCTATACATGTTTTGGTTTTGATATACAGATTCACACAGTTAGTTTAATCAGCACTTCGAATACAATAATACTTCAACATGTGTTTAAAGTTTTACTGCTTGTTTCCAATTGGTTATCACAAAACATTGCTATTAGCTAACAACCACATGTGAATGAACCACGTGGAAAGAATACACAGGAAAGAATACATAACAATTAAAACAGAATTAATCTTTTATGTTTAAAAATTCATACCACGTACGATTTATTTCCCGCCCGTTACTATCATTAATCTTGTTACTATTAGTTGTTATTATTTCTGAGTTCATACATTGGCGTTTATACACATTATTTTCGGATTTTACAACTTTTACTAGAGCTATTGCAATGTTTGGCTATTGCAGAGTTTTGATAGTTATATTTTGCGTGTTCTTTTATTCTAGTATTTAATTTTCTACCTGTTTCCCCCAATATATATATATATATTGGGGGAAACAGTATCCGTATATATGTTACAGTCAAAACCCGTTTTTAGTTAGAACGCGTTTTAACTAGTTGAAACTAGTTTATACTGACTGTCTTTGTTAAAACTCGTTTTGTCTAGTTAAAACTAGTTTTAACTCAAATTCATTTTTGACTAGCAGTAAATTCTAGTTTTAACTAGACAAAACCGGTTTTGTCTAGTTAATTTACTGCCTACATGTTTTGACTTTAGATAAAACTAGTTTTAACTTTTAACATTAGTTAAAACTAATTTTAGCTACATAAATGTTTGGGGTAAATAAAGTTATGTATAGTGATTCGGCGGAAGATGCCTAACATTTTGCTTATGAAGAAAATTACAGCGCTAATTTGAGTTTAGGAGCCCTCTAATGAAAATACAGTATCATATTCTCGAGTATGTCTTTCAAATAAAAGTTTGGAGTTTATTTTAAAAAATTCTATACTGTGTTTGCAATGACGACTTTTTCACTGTCTGGCATTTTAAGCATCTCACCCCAAGTATCTGGGTG